GCTCTGGAACGCTCTCCCTCTGTCCCTTCACTGCTCAGATTCTACTGACTCTTTTAAGAAACGTCTTAAGACATTTTTATTCAGACAGGCTTTTAGTTAAGTGTTTTTTTATTGTGTTTTAATTGTTGTTTTTATATCTGTGATCTGTTTTATTGTTTTTAATCAGTTTTAATTAGTTTTTGCTTCCTGTGAAGCACTTTGTGATGTTTGTGTCTGTGAAAGCTGCTGTAGAAATAAAGTTTACTTTACTTTACTGATAGAACCTGAGTTATTTCAGGACCAAAGCTGAACGTTGGTGGAAATAAAGTTTGTATTTTTCTGGTTTTCCTGCTGTTTGTTGTTGGAATAAATAAAAAGTAAACTTTACAAGATGTTTACACCCAGACTCTGTTCAGTTTATAAGGTTTAACCATAACGACCAGAAACATCCATGTTTACATCCTTACTGATCCACAGTCTCAGACCCAGGACTGATCAGGACCAGAGGAACCCAACTATGACCACTAGGAGGCAGTATTTCAACACAAACTCCTTCTGTGGTAAAAATCTAACAACACAAACACTTTGAAACATTTTACTGTAGAAAATTGAACCTTTGGATTCTGTTTTTATAACAAAAATATAAAAAACTATCCTAATTAAATTAAAGATCAAAAACATTTTCAACGAGCTCCAGGGACATTATATTTAATTATAATTAATTATAATTAATCAGGACAGAGTGTGTTCCTACTATAGGGGGATCACAGTTCTGAGCCTCCCTGGTGAGGTCTATTCAGGGGTCCTGGAGAGGAGGGTCCATCAGATAGTTGAATCTCAGATTCAGGAAGACCAGTGTGGTCCTGGTCCTGGAACAGTGGACCAGCTCTGCACCCTCAGCAGGGTCCTGGAGGGTTCACAGGACTTCATCCAGTCTACATGTGTTTGTGGACTTGGAGGAGGAGTTTCAGTCACGTCATCATCAGTTTTTGGTATTTGAGCAGCGAGACTTGGACCAACATTAACATAATAATGATTCAATTCATTAACTATTTCACTTTGATCATAAAGTTCCTTATTTAAATCTTTTACAAAGCGTTGTGAAGTACCTTCTGCTTTTTTTAAACACTATTCATTACTCCCCACGTTGCTTTAGTGTCATCATTACTTTTGCTTAATAAATCACTATAAAATTCTTTTTTATAATATTTATATCCCATAATATGTCTTTCTTCCCTCTGAAACGGGTCAAACTGTTACTGAAGGCTTTACCTTCAGGCAGAGCTCAGGCTTTAGTGAAGCTGGTTCTGAATGAAGGCCTTATGGGGACCTGATGTTCTGGTTGACCTGGTGGTGTTGGTCCAGTCTGGTCCGGTCTGAGAAAACATTTCAGCCTGTTGTCACTGACCCACTTATCTGTCTGTGTACACACACACACACACACACACACACACACACACACACACACACACACACACACA